GTTAAATCATCGCAAATAAAATGGACTAAAATACAAAGGTAATAACCTAATGACCTTATTTCCCAGATATTTTCTAATTATGAGAAAAACCCATGTAGAAATAGTTCTGAAGGTACAAAGTGAAAAGGAAAAGATTTTTTCTTCCTCATTGTATCCTTACCCCTGTCAGCGTTATTCCTATGTATATCTTTCTATTAACTTACAAAACAAGTGATAATATTATACCATATTCATGATTGTATGTATTAGTTTTTTCACTAAAAATAAGTGATACAGGTCCATATCAACTGAGTTTTCTTTTTAATGGATGAATAATATTTCACTTAGTCCATACAATAATATTACTTGACTAGCTTCCTACTGATGGACAATTGTCTGTTTTACTATGACAATGCTTCAGTGAATGTTTCTTTTATATATATATATACATATTTTTTATTTTAAAGTTGTGGGGTACAGTTAAGGGTTAGGTATGCAAATATGCATTGTCCAGGAACCCTTGTTGATAAGGGGTGTCCCCCTGTACCCAGACAGATATTGACTACCATTAATCCCACCATCCTTGCCCTCCCTGTAGCCCCCCATAGAGTCCCACCACTGTCGATCCTTTACTTATAGTATTACGATAGATGTTCAAGGTTCACTTATGAGTGAACATGCGATACTCAGATCTTTGTTTCTGTGCGAGATCACTCAGTATTTTAGACTCTAGATCCATCCAGGTTGCAAAGGCCTAACATCTTGGATCTACAAGGAACTCAAATGTGCTGAAAAGAAAAAAACCAAACAACCCCATTACAAAGTGGGCAAAAGATATGACCAGACACTTCTCAAAAGAAGACATACGAGCGGCCAACAGACACATGAAGAAATGTTCAACATCACTAATCATCAAGGAGATACCACCTAACTCCAGTCAGAATGACCATTATCAATAATTCAAAAAACAATAGATGCTGGAGAGGATGTGGTGAAAAGGGAACACTTCTACACTGTTGGTGGGAGTGTAAACTAGTGCAACCTCTGTGGAAAGCAGTGTGTTGATTCCTAAAAGCTCTAAATATTGACCTCCCATATGACCCCACAATCCCCCTACTGAGAATGTACCCTGAAGAACTCAAATCACTCTATAAAAAAAGATACCCGTACACGTATGTTTATCGCAGCATTGTTCACAATAGCAAGAACCTGGAACCAACCATGCTGTCCATCAAAAGAGGATTGGATTTTTTAAATGTGGTACATATACATGATGGAATACTATGCAGCTATAAAAAAGAACAAAATCATGAATTTCAGTGAACATTTCTATATATCGTGTGTGTATGTGATGCACACACATACACATACATACTTCTGCAGGGATAGCCATAGGTAAATTCCTGCAAATTAAAGGCACAATTCCATTGCTTAAAATTTTTCACTTTATAATTTACTGCCACTTTCCATATGATCTCTCCTTGTAAGCTAGTTTGGGCTTTCTCCACAGCACAGGAGGCTCGGGGCAGTCAATCGTGGCTGACTGCTTCAAGAGCAAAAATTCCAGCTAACAAGATAGAAATTACATTATCTTTCTGATCCAGCCTCAAAAATTATGCAGCATTACTTCTTACCACAGAAGTCTACTCAGACTCAAGAAGAAAGTCATAGACCTCTTGATGGGTGGGAGAGCCAAAGTAACACTGAGATTAACCCATTAAGTGGTAGATATTGTTCGGGCTAATTTTGAAAAAAAAAATCTTGTCCACTCTCCAAGAAAGTTTGCATAAATTTATACTTTCACTGAATGTATATTAGAATACCCATTTTCCCATGCCCCTTATAAATCCAATTGGTGAAAAATGGTTACCTCATTACTAGTTTGGTCTGCATTTCTTAATCAGTAACACTGAGCAGATCTCTATATCTTTACTGGTGCCTTATATTTCTAGTCCTGATATCTAGCTATATACAGACTTTTCTATTGAGTCGTTACTAAACTTAGAGATTTTGGTAAGTGAAAAAAGTATCCCTTTCTCATCATGCATGATAAACATGTTTTTTATATTGCCCTTTTTTTTTGACTGTTTATTGCCATACAGAAATTTATAATTTATCTATAGTCATATTTATCAATACTTTCTATTATAGTTTCTGAGTTTTATATCTTGCTGAGAAAGGTCTTTCTTACTTCAATATTATTTTTAATATATTCCTTTTTTTCTAGATTTTGGTCATTGACCTGTAATCTGTTCCCTATATTATTATACTGTCCATGTAATATTGAACCATATTCGCGTTTCCTGGAAATAACTCCTTTTAGTTAAAATACTATTTTTTAATGTACTTTTGAATTCTAATTGATTTTTTCCCTAGATTGAAGCTTTTATTCAGTGCCAGATTTCTCCCCAATTTTTTATTTCTTCTTACTATATTCAGCAAAATTTAGAGTTTTTTCTTTTATTTCTAATGATGGCCTATATGTATTACTTCATTTCTGAATTGTTCTAATTTTGGTTTCTGTTGTTTTATATAATTTTTTAATATTTTTAAAACTCCTTTGGTAACAATATGTTACAATTTTTATCTATCTTGTATCCATGCATTCCTGGGATATTTTCGTTATTTGTGGAGATATTAATCTATTCCCTATTCTCATTTTTCTAATAATAGCTTTGTATGAGATTCTATCTCAATACCATTCTGTTTTTTGGTTTTATAGGAGCTTATTTTTCCTGAACTTCTAGAAGTGATCCAGGGCGGTTTTCTAACTTCACAGAGCTCCCTCTTCTGTTGTTTTTGTGAAGTGTTCACCAACACGGTAGCTTACTTTCTGAGTTGTCTACTCCCACTGTGGGTCGGCTTTCTCTTTCCTTATCTCTGTAGTTTCTATCCTGCTAAAATGCAGATTAACTTGCAGTAGTTTCTCCTCAGTGTAGGACCCTATCCCAAAAGTAAGCTATGGCTGGTTGGTCTGAAAATTTCTCAAACCCTAGACTATTCCAACGTCTCTCAGAACTTTCCAAGACCCTCTCAATCTCCCCTATTATTACACTGGGCAAAACCCTTCCCAGTTTCAGCTGCTATTCTCTGATTGGCTTTTCAGTAAACATAGGCATCCCTCAGTATTCGAAGAGCTTGATTTCAGAATCAACTCTCACTTGCTACCACAGATGCCAAGATCTGAAGATGTTCAAGTCCCCTACATAAAATGGTGCAGTATTTGCATATAACCTACACACACATTCCTATATACTTTAAATCATCTTTAGATTATTTATAATGCCTAATACAATGTAAATGCTATGTAAATAGTTGTAAAATAATAGCTGTATTTTAAAATTGTGTATTTTTTATTGTTGTATTGTTATTTTTTTATTGTTTGATCTTTTAAAAATATTTTCAACCCATAATTGGGTAAATCTGCAGGGACAGAACCCACAGATAGGGAGGGCCAACTGTCCTTCTTGGCTGTTTTGAGGTCCTTGAGTTCTCAGGTCCTTTGCTTTGCTTTTCTTTCTCCCAGATCTTTTGGTGCTTTAATTTGCTTTAGCAATTCACTGGAACTTAATAAAATATTAAAAATCCTCAGCCAGGCTCGGTGGCTTAGCCTGTAATCCCATGCTTTGAGAGGCTGAGGTGAGTAGATTGCCTGAGGCCGCGGATTTGAGACCCGCTTGGACAACTTGGCTAGACTTCATCTCTACAATAAATCAAAAAATCAGCCAGGCATGGTAGTGCATGCCTGTAAATCCAGCTGCTCAGAAGGCTGAGTCAGAAGGATCGCTGGAGCCCAGCAGGTCAAGGCTGTAGTGGCTGGGAGTGGCCACTGCACTCCAATCTGGGCAACAGAGTGAGACTGGGAATGGCCACTGCACCAATCTGGGCAACAGAGTGAGACTGGGAGTGGACACTGCACTCCAATCTGGGCAACAGCGTGAGACTGGGAGTGGTCACTGCACTCCAATCTGGGCAACAGAGTGAGAGTGAGAGTGGCAACTGCACTCCAATCTGGGCAACAGAGTGAGACTGGGAGTGACCACCGCACTCCAATCTGGGCAACAGAGTGAGACTGGAAGTGGCCACCACACTCCAATCTGGGCAACAGAGTGAGACTGGGAGTGGACACTGCACTCCAATCTGGGCAACAGAGTGAGACTGGGAGTGGACACTGCACTCCAATCTGGGCAACAGAGTGAGACTGGGAGTGGACACTGCACTCCAATCTGGGCAACAGAGTGAGACTGGGAGTGGACACTGCACTCCAATCTGGGCAACAGAGTGAGACTGGGAGTGGACACTGCACTCCAATCTGGGCAACAGAGTGAGACTGGGAGTGGCCACTGCACTCCAATCTGGGCAACAGAGTGAGACTGGGAGTGGACACTGCACTCCAATCTGGGCAACAGAGTGAGACTGGGAGTGGACACTGCACTCCAATCTGGGCAACAGAGTGAGACTGGGAGTGGACACTGCACTCCAATCTGGGCAACAGAGTGAGACTGGGAGTGGACACTGCACTCCAATCTGGGCAACAGAGTGAGACTGGGAGTGGCCACTGCACTCCAATCTGGGCAACAGAGTGAGACTGGGAGTGGACACTGCACTCCAATCTGGGCAACAGAGTGAGACTGGGAGTGGACACTGCACTCCAATCTGGGCAACAGAGTGAGACTGGGAGTGGACACTGCACTCCAATCTGGGCAACAGAGTGAGACTGGGAGTGGCCACCGCACTCCAATCTGGGCAACAGAGTGAGACTCAAAAAAAAAAAATTTCTCCATTTGTATGTATCTACTGAACTACATTGCAGAAATAGGAGCTTAAATAGACAGTACTCGAGGTACTGACAGTTTAAGTGACATATTAAAACTGAAAGGGAGAACTGAAAGTGGGAAATTCCTCTGAACCATCTCATATAAATAGGCCATACCCATGGAGAAAGGACAGTCACACCGGAGACTTTTGAAACCTTTACTCCAGTGCAACAGATAGTAGGCAACACTGTTCCTGTTGTCATCATGACTAACAGGTGTCTCCTCCAAGTTGCCCTCCTGTTGTGCTTCTCCATGACAGCTCTTTCCATGAGTGATGACTTGCTTCAGTTCAGACTAAGAAGCAGCAGTTTGGAGTGTCAGAATCTCCTGTGGCAGCTGAATGCAAGTCTTGAAGATTGCCTCAAGAACAGGATGAACTTTGGGATCCCTGAGGAGATAAAGCAACCGCAGCAGTTCCAGAATATGGACACCACGTTGGTCATCTATAAGATGCTCCAGAAAATCTTTGATATTTTCACAAGAGACTTCTCTAGCACTGGCTGGAATGAGACCATTGTTGAGAACTTCCTTGCTAACGTCTATCAGCAGATAGACCGTCTGGAGACAATCGTGGGAGAAAAACTGAAGAAGAAAGACATCCCCACGGGATATACCGTGAGGCTTATGCGCCTGAACAGCTATTACTTTAGGATTGTGGGATACCTGAAGGCCAAGGAGTACAGCAGCTGTGCTTGGACAATCGTCCGACAGGAACTCCTCAAGAACTTTTTCTTCATTAACAGACTTTCAGATTACCTCCAAATCTGATGATCTCCCAGCCTATGCCTCTGGGACTGGACAATAATTTCAGGCATTCTCCAACTGGCCGGGGCTTTTTAAGTGACTGAATAGTTAATGCACTGCACTTAAGAGGTCTTTAAGACTTAGAAGACTTTAAAATGTTTATTAATTTATGAATTTTTTAATTTATTTTACCCCGGAAAATAAATTATTTTTGACACAAAAATCAACATGGCAGTTTTAATTTCAGCTTGATTTATATAATGACCCATATTCATAATTGCTGAGCACTTATCAGATGTTCTTTGTAAAATGTGTCTGCAACGTAGTATAGTTTCTGATCCCTGCCCTTGAGGAATTTAAAGTCCAAGGAAGTCATATGGAGTACCCAAGGTAAGATATAATAAGGGAACTGGAACCTTACAGGGGAATAAATGTGGCATGAACTGCTACAGGAAGGGAAGAGGCAAGTAAGAGATCCAGAAATCAGAACCTGGAGTGCCCACGGTTTCTCCTCTGTGTTTAGAATTTTGCTGGCCATTAGGGTAGCCAAAGGAATATGTCAGCTTTTGTGTCCACCCTGTTATTTGGGGGATACTCCACTTCTGGAAGTATTTAAAAATATTTGTGTGCTTCAGGGTAAGAAGTCCTGGCCACTATTAAACAGCAGTTGCTTTATTGCGCTTTTCATGGGATAGCCGAGAGATGTGGGTCTCTTAGGGGAGCTGAGGGTCTCTGTCTGCTGCTAGGGCACAGGCACCAGAAGAAAAGGAACTCTATACCCTAGCCATCTGTTACTTTTCTCCCCGTTGTTTCAAAAAACGGAGACTGCTCCTGGTCCCCCCGTCTTGTTCATACAGAATTCTAGAAATATTCTGTTTAGTTTTCCTGCTACTCTATATCTCTGAAGTCACAAACTCCCCGAAGCCAGATCCAAGACAGATGCAGCAGTATGTCCAGTTTTGAACCAAGGGGAAAGCCAGGGAGCATGAGAGAAAGGAAAAGATAAAGAGGGCACTAGTTTTCCCCAGGGCTTACATTGGGAAAAATTAAGCCTTCCTAGGAGTTCTTGAGGCACCTGGTCAGCCTTTGCCCACTGGCTGATTTTTGTCTCTGTATTGAACCTCTGGGGAACGTGGTTTAGGATGGCTGTGACCATCATTAGCAGCTGCCATTTACTGAGAGATTCTAATGAAACAGCATTGCTCTGAGCTCCTGTGGAGGTAATTGGGTTTAATCTTCTTCACAAGCACCTCTCAGGTAGGCACAATTACGTTACTGCCATTTTATAGGAGAGAAAACTAAATCTCAGAGAGTTAGTAACTGCCTAAAGATCACATAGTGACCTCTCTCAAATCCATAGTGAGTGGAGTTTAAAAAGTAAAAAGGGAAGAATCATAAAAGGTTTTATTTGAATCTAGGCATTTTACTAGAGCAATACAGAAATCTGAGGTCCTTTTAAAGGAATCAACTTGATGAAATCTGTCCATCTAGAGTTCTAGAGAAGCTACTATTGTGCCCACAATGAACTCAGGATTCTCCCTTCTGGCTCAAGATGGGTAACACACTGTTGTGCAACCAAGAAGTGCCATCCTGATGGACTTGTTGACCTTGACCCAAAGCAGTCAAGTCCCTTGTAAAGCAATCAAGCTTGCCTTTTCCCCCCAACTCCCCACCCCAGTTCTGCCAAAAGCTCTTCAGCAGTTGGACTACTTTTCGCCTGAAGTCAAGGACAAGATCAGCAAGTAGAAAAGCAAAGTCCAGGCGGTGTCTAGAGTAGCCAAGGGGAAGCTCACCAAGTCTCTCTCTGCAATGGGCCCCTACTGCACACTGCCGTCTCTGAGTTGAATTGCTAAACTGGCCCAGAAAATTGTCATTTCCTGGAAAGGCCCACTCTGCCTGTGTGCAGAGGCCAGAAGGACAGGAGAAAGGTTTTTTCTGCTGAATTATAAATACTGTGTCACAGCTGAGCATGTCAGCCCATCCAGAATGTCAAAAGTATGTTCATCACCAGTGGAGGATAAATAACAACTAAAATTAATACCAGTAAAAATTAAGGAGACTGGCCCAAAGGCATACATTTGCAGAAGTTGAGCTGATGATTATGTTTAAGGGGTAAAGTTAAATATTCATTTTAGTTGACACCAGAATACCTCACAGGGAGGACACTTTTTGACTAGAGAAATGTCTCCTGAGGCTCTAAAGATACAAGATGAGATCTTGAGGTGATGAGTGTGGCAACACAAAAGACAGTAAAACACTTAAGCATGTGTTTGTGTGTTGGCTTGTTTCTGAGGAGACAAGAGACAGAGAGAAATCCCCCCCAAAGCTCTGGAACTGTGACGTTCCCCCCAGAACCAGGCAAACTGAAAACTTCTTGGTAGGGACAAACAAATTTTCCAAACAGCGTCTCACATGCGAGTTGAAACTGTGTGCACTGGTGTGTTGAAACTCTCTCCAAGATTGCCAAAATCTCAGGAAAGGCAACCACCTGCAAAAAGTTTCTATGTGTGTATAATTTCTGTGTATATATCATAGAAAGTGTCCAGGTCCATGTTTGAAACAGTGTGGGGAAATAAGCATGGGGTGGCCAGACCTTCACGGATGAACCAAATTGGTAGTGACAGAAAACAGATGGTGACAGAGCCAGCTTCCCCCTTCCCACACGGAAACTTAGGAATCCAAAGAAATCACGGAGAGGACACTGTGCTTCCACAGACCTGGACTGAAGGAGCCATCTTACCTAGCTCTTGAGCAGTCGGAAGAACAGCTGGGTTACACGTCAGTATATAAATGTTGCCTAAGTGTATGGGCACACAGATGCTGGCCAATATCAGCACATAGGTGCATAGTCAGTTTTGCAGTTATCAAAATTGATATTTAGGCAGCACCCAACACTTCCAAGTACTCAGATCATATCTGATCAGGGACTTGATCATCAAATACTCTTAAGAAAACGAGGCCAGGCTCAGTGGCTCAGCCTGTAATCCCAGCACTTTGGGAGGCCAAGGTGAGAGGACTGCCCGAGCCCGCGGGTTGGAGAACAGTCCAGGCGACTTGGTGAGCCCTCGTCTCTGTGACAAATAGATCGGCGTGCGCGCGCCGTCTCCGGCCGACCGGAGCCG